TTGGTGGTTACAATACTACCCGTTTGTTGACATCTTTCATACGGTTTCATTTTGCGTATTTGGTCGGAGAGATCCTACAAGGCGTGATACTGATAACACATATGAAGCATAAAACACAGGAAAATGTTTGGCGAGGAAATGTTTGGCGCTGTTCAGTTTAGAAGGGGCCAGGGGTGGACACTTTTGCTAGTTCATTTTGCTAGATCCTGTGAAATTACCCGTCACACCTTGATGAGACCTCTAAATTCCTGTCAAGTGTGGATGAAGCTCCTGCTATAGCGAAGTTTAACCGCGCTCTCGCTCTCGTCAGCATCGGCAGTGACCGTGGGAAAGCAGTAATATGGCCCACCAAGTCGAATTTTGCCAAATGTTTCTCTTAACTTGCACAATCACTAACATTAGCATTACAGAATAAGGAGATCGCTCTCCTAGGGAGCGATCTCCTCATTCTGTAATGCTAGTGTTAGTGATTGTGCAAGTTAAGAGAAACATTTGGCAAAATTCGGCTTGGTGGGGCATATTACTGCTTTCCCACGGTCACTGCCGATGCTAACCGTGGAGACCTGTGAACTTCGTTAAACTTTGCTATAGCAGGAGCTTCATCCACACTTGACAGGAATTTAGAGGTCTCATCAAGGTGTGACGGGTAATTTCACAGGATCTAGCAAAATGAACTAGCAAAAGTGTCCACCCCTGGCCCCTTCTAAACTGAACAGCGCCAAACATTTTTCTGTGTTTTGCCATACTTTTTATGCTTCATATGTGTTATCAGTATCACGCCTTGTAGGATCTCTCCGACCAAATACGCAAAATGAAACCGTATGAAAGATGTCAACAAACGGGTAGTATTGTAACCACCAAATCATTCAGAAATCTCGTCCAGGTTTGTCAAGAATTCAGCATTCTCTTTTGTGATTTGAAATGTAAAGATATTTTAAGGGTTTCTGCATGTTCCTTGATTGCGGCACGAAGATCAATGTTAAAGTTATGAAAAATTTGACACGTAAAGTATTTGCTTGTTGTGATCTGCTCTTCGAGATACTTCGCGTTCTTCCAAATCAGTTGTTGGTGAGAGACAATCTTTTTTTTTGTGATATTAAACATTCAAAGGAAAAAAATGCACAATAACTGAGTGCTTATGGGATCGGAACGCCTATTAGATGGGAAAGCTTCCTGCTTGAAGGCGAAGCTGGTTCATCTCGAGGGGTTCTTTAGAGTGGACTCAACAAGACCCTTCATTATGGGAGGCATTCCCCATCTCCCGGAAAGATCTCCTCCACGCTTCGTATCAAGCACATTGATAAAAACACTCGTCCAAACTTCGCCACGACGCGCACTGACGTGCTGTAAGCAGCCACAATTGGAAAAGCGCAATAACATAGACCGAGAACGCAGCCTCACGCGAGAATCGATCGGCACCGGCCATTTGGTTATTAAGAGAGCATGCAGGAAAAAGAGGGTACGTGTTGCCTAATCTCGTAGTCTCGGACAGTACTAGATCATGTGAAAGCAGCGCCTGCCTCTTGTTATCTTATACTGTCTCAGAACACTGCGGCCGGCACCGATCGATTCCCGTCTGCGGCTACATTCTCTCTGTAGAATTGGAGCGCTGTTGCTAGCGTAGCGCGGCCAAGGGCACGTCATCGCGAAGTCTGAACGCTGCCGTGGCCATTCTTTTGAAAACAATCGAGCTGGGCTTTCGGATGCCTGAGACGTGTGAATTCATTAAGGGCTTAACAGGGTGTCATTTAGAGGCGTCCCTACATGCATACGTTTTGGCGCAGCGCCAGCATATATCCATCGATGGTTTCGCGTTCCTTAGTGACAACGACCGGTGGAAACAGGCTCTCACCGCGCCAAAATGTACGTACGCCGGTACGCCTCTCATCCGGCGCTCCGTCAAAACTACGTGAAGCCGGATATCTATGGGAGTCATTGTTATCATGACGCCCACGGTGAACTCGTCCAAGATTGTCCCACGTTAGCCACAAACTCATCCGCTCCCCAGCAGAGTTAAAGCATTCTCGCATGACGTTCACCGTTTTACTTCGTTTTTTGGACATTCTTTCACTATTTAGAACCCCTGCTGCCGTTATAGACTGAGTACAAATTATATCTTCCTGCCTGTCTTGCCTCGAGCCTTTGATTTTTCATATGGAGTGTGGGTCCATGACCGAAATGTTGTGTGCAGTCAGATTCTCTCGGATGTTCTAATACTTCCAACTCTCTTCGCTTTTTTAACTCCAAAACAGATGTGGATAAACTATTGCAGTGATAGTAAATAACTATATTCTTTAGTGAATGTTTGTTATTCCAGCATTTCCGATGTGACTCTATCTCTACCTGGTTTAATGTCTTTCATTTCCTCAAGTTCATCCCCGATCCACAGCTAGCAGTTACACCACGAATGTTCAGCGTAACAAGTTAGCTTATTTCTCTAGTTTTTGTTTAGTGATAAACACTTGATCTTCTTTGCTGAAAACCTTTGATACTGAATGTTTAGATCACCCTCTTAGAAGACAGAGAAAGAGAAAACTGGTCAAAAATTTCCAAGAAGCTTGGATTGGTCTAATGAGGTGTTCTGTGAGTTTTCTTCTCTAATTTTCCAGTTTTTTCAAGGACGAGGCATTCATCTCTTCTTTAGGATGTGTAACTAACAACAACTTTCTCTTGCAGGTTCCTCCCAAAGTACTTATTGTAATGATACCGCACATAACCGAAAATGTCCTAGACAAACTTGATGAACCTCATAAAACAGCGGAATTCTTTTTCAAGGTAATCATGAAGTCTATATATCGAAAATGTTTTCAAGTCACCATTCTTTCAGGCATTTGATAAGGGTGATATGTTTGCGATACTCTCTCTGGCTGCGATTTTCAAGCTTATAGTGTCGCATAACTTGTAAGTTAAACTGTTGAATGGTTCCATCCTCCTTTGATTCATCTTATGAATTTTAGTGAATATCCTAACTTTTACGATCATGTCTATTCTCTGACGAAGCCTGCAGTACTGTATCTTGACCAGAAGGAAAAATTTATATCACTTCTCGACAAATTCCTGTCATCCACGTAAGTTTATGTTGTCCTCTTTTTATTTCCAATGGTTTTGGTATATTTCGATCAATAGTCCATCATAAACTCCCCCGTTTTATCCGTTGCACACCCTCGCGCTGGTGATGGTGTTTCTGGCCATGTTGGCAGAAGCAGAGCATGGAATGGCTGGAGTTGCTTATGTATTAGAAGTCGCAGTATTTGAAATGATGCCCATCTTTGAGGTGTTTTCACTTTTGAAAGGTTTGGGGGGGGGGCTAGGGCACGAAGGCAATTAAGCAGCGAGGAACTGCGGCCCTGGTGGCGCCCCGGATAGCGCTTTCTCAAGGAGAGCGTGGAAGAACGGGTTTGAGCTCTGCCTAGGATTAATACTTCAGCCCATTACTCAGCATTATTATGATGTTCACTTTGTTTTTTTTTTCTTCGTTTTGGTCACGAGGTGCTCGCTTGCCTATTACAAAGTAGTATTGAGCCAAAAACCCTAAAAACCTTGAGGGGGGGGGGGGGAATCTAAAGGGCAGTAGTCTCAGTTTTGCACGAGGGTTCTTGGAGTGGCTTTAGCACAAGGGTTCTTAGAATGGCACCCCCTAACGTTGTTGGCGCCAGCAGTGTAGCGGCAAATGGCAAGCTCACTACGCATGCGGTCCGAGGTCAAATTCCGGATCGGCTCTCGTCCAGCCCAACCAAGACTTCTAGCGTTCGGTGCTGCAAACCGAAATTCATTGTGCAGGCCACATGGCATTCAATAAGCCACTACGATTCTGAATGGAAGTAGAATGCGTGCCGCATCCCACAAAGGGATTGATCAACGGCGAAGATTTCATCCTTCATCCCTTTATCCTCACACCTTGCAAACGTAAGATGTTGCCAGTAATCCGATGGAATTCTTTCAAGGCACATACCTAACTATGTTGTTGCCGGCTTTGCGAAACGTCTGTCGCGGATGCTTCTTCTTGCTCCGTTGGATGCTCAAGAACCGGTTCTTGGGCTTATAAGAAATCTACTCACCCGACACCCCATTGTCTCGTCGCTTATTCATCGTGACCTGCCAGGTATTCATGAACAATAGTCTGTCTTTACACCGGTGAAATTGTTGTGGATTTCGATTCCATCTTTTTTTGACGGCGGTTTCTTCGTAACTTCAGTTCCCAGTTTAGAAACTTTGCCTTCGGATCCTTTCAACGATAACGAATCTCGGCTCAGTGAATGTGGTGCTGTCAATAGCTCTCTATGGGAAATTAGGGTATGTTTCAGAATTCCTGATAATTAGGTTCTCACTGTATTCCTTCCATTCGTCTACTTGTTTGTCTTTACAAATGAATAATAGCAGAAACTACTTCTCGAGTACCTATACCACTTTCGGTGAGATGCAAGATAAAAGTCTCGCGTTGAGCAAAGCTTTGTTCAGATAAAATAGCTTTTCTGATTCTCTTTTCGTTCTTCTACAGGATATTGAGTTTGGTTTTCAGAGTCTTCAGAAACACTGGCACGCGAATGTAGCGAAAAGAGCTAATTTTGTTGACAAGAAATTACAACAGGTATTCATGGTTGTCACATTAAATAAATAAATATCAGACATTATATAAAGTAAGCACTTGTTGTTAGTAGCACTTGTTTCAGATGGAATCGTTCGTGCGGTTCCGATGTCAAGATGAGTTATTTTCCAATATGATGGCGAGACCTTTCGGTAGTGGGAGAGATAACGAAGAGCAGAAATACAGTCGAGCACAGGTTGGCGAGTTGTTCTGTCCTCTAGATTAAAATAAGTGGTGGATTTTCATGATGGGTCTTGCTAAAGCTTAGTCTGCTGCTTTTTATACCAGAATCCTTCTCGCGGAAGGTTACCTTACTAGTAGTGTTACTCGTCAATGAATTTCAGAATCTCTGTTGCTTCTCTTAATATTATATAGTTAGAGCAAAGTGTACCTCCGTAGACCCTGGCCCCTGTCGTATTTGAAGTGAATGGGTACGCAGCTGCAGTACAGTGCCACTTTCTCCGCTCAAAAAGGCCGGAGAAGGGCTGTAGGATGGTGGTTCCCGGGTGCCGTTCCATACTCCGCGTGACTTCGAGCTGCTTGTGTGCGCCTTCTCACTTCTTGTTGATCTCTACCATTGAATGCGTGTTTCGCTGCCAGACCTTGGTTTCGGTGCAAGTGCTGCACTTGATAACAAGGCCGGAGAGGGCACCGAGTATCACTACACTCTAGCCCAGTTTCCGTGCGTCTTCGAGCGGGGAAAGTGGCGCACACTCGGAGGTGATGTACACTTTGTACACGCCGCGCTCTTAGATGCTGAATAAACCCTTGACTCATCAGCTTCTCGATTTTCTTACTTGGAAATTGACCTGGTCCCTGACTGTAGGCTTTTATAAGTTCACACTCAAAATGTATCTATTGAAGGGACGTCCGGTCCGCAAGCAGTGACGATGTATCACTTTCACGACGAAAATGCGTGATAAAGACACTAGGCGCCCGTGGCAAAGGCGATGACCTACGCCCAACTTCCAGTTCTGACGGCCTCCCGGTACTGCGGTTGTTCCGCTACCAATTTTTCCCATTCCAAATGGTGGTAGTGAGGTAATAAGGGGAAAAGAGCTCATATCGTTGTCATATCAACAAGTGAAACCCATCTTAAACACGTACTTTCTTCGCCTTATGCTCGCTTATGACGACTGAAGGGTTCTTAACCAGAGCATTTTAGGCGGTTTTTTCTGCTTTGCTCTTCACTAAATGCTTGCCACCTTGTTATGTGTATTTAGCCTCACTACCCTACTGTCTTCCAAGTACAATCGCAGGACATGCCTTTCAACTTGAGTACTTGAGTGAGAATTGTCTCTAGCTTAGCTTTTGCATAGTTTCTTTTTAGGACGGATCAGATGATGACGAGCCTGAGCCGAAAAAGAAAATGCAGAAAAAAGGGAAGTTCGCTAAAAAGCACGAGGTACGTCTGAGCCACTTCAGTATTGGTGAAATGCGTTCCTATTGGAGTAGCAGTGTAAATGAAAACGATCAGAAATGCTATGGTCATAACATTTGTTCCGGCTGCTTGATTTTTATTTTAGTTGCCTTTTTTCAGGATCAGAAAGAACATGCAATTCCAGTCAACTTTACAACACCGACCGGATCGCTGTTTCCCGAAAACTCCTTTAATTTAGTTTACGAGAAGTTTTGGGCTGTTTAGACTTGTAAAAACTCTAAATAATATAGTTGTTTTGTTGTTGCCATAGTTATCTGTTATTGTTTGTACTTTGGCATTGATGTTGTTGTTACACGTTGTTACTATGAAAATGAAACATTTTTTGAAATTTTTTCGGATGATTTTGGACACGTAGATGTCGTTGCTTATACCGATTAAACCATTCATTGATTTCCTCCTTCTGTTATGGTTAAAAAAATTCAGGCTTTCAGGGTTATAATCACTTACGATGAACCTGAACAGCCCTCACCCTTCGGTGTTAGGTAGTTTAGGTGGTGATACCCCAGCTCATGGACCATCATCAATATTGGGTGGGCTTTTTTTGATAGCTACTTACTGCGGTGTACTTCACAAATTGATCTGAACAAATGCCTTATATATGAGTAGTAATTATACTGAAATTTTTCGCAGGTGGCCATGGAGGCCCTGGGTCAGTGTTGGGTCAACATGGTGGGCCAGGTTCTGTACTGGGACCTGGCTCTATTATGGGTCCGTCTAGCATCGTCGGACCAAACAGTTTGCTCGGACCTTCATCGATGATTGGCGGATCTCATCAAGGGCACAGTATGTTTTTGTTTTCCTCAATAGTTCATCTGTTCATTCTCTGTCACACGAAAAAAGACTAGGAGAACTCCTTTGTTTCTCGATGCTTTACAGTCAGTGATTTCCCTTTCAGTTTAGCTTTCCATATGATAGAATGGCTTCCTTGATGTGATGAAATTGTAGAGAAGTTCACAGCTCCCCCAACTTTTTGTCTTTCCGTTAATCCACCAACCGTATCCTATTAGCTGCCCCTGCGTCATCATGTCTATCCTTCACGTGGGTATCCATAGCTACTTTACGCTTCACCACGTCATGCTTGCCAATTCTTTCAGTTTCTCAGTTCCTTTCGAGCTTATATGCATTATGGAACCTTGAGAGATATTCTGACTTTATCTTCCTTTGTTCTAGCCTTTAGAGTTTGTCAGCCTATGCCTATTGAAGTTTGCGCCATCGAGGTCCTCATATACTCTTGGTTTAAGAGCGAGAGGGACGAAATATGAGAAGACATTCCTTCGCATAGTGTTTTGCGAAGCAATTCCTCACCTACATTTTTTCTTTGCATTCGGATTCCATGTTGTTCAGGTATGATGCACAGCAATCAAGGTCCTGGCTCCATGGTAGGATTTTCGTCAGTGGATCGTGGAAGTAATATGAATCTAAATATAAATCCTCGTCTGTTGTGAACGTTGGTGGCAATCCCGGATCCGTTTTTCAGGTTCGCGATGTTCTTCACGTGCTACACCACTTGCAGAGTAACGACAACATTGTAAATCTAGAGTGTTGGCAGAGTGTGTCGAAAGGTTCGGTAGAGCGTTAGTGGCAGAATAGCGTGAAGATAGAGTAAAGGAGTCCTGGAACAAGCATTTGTGCTCAAATACTCCTGTTGGGAAGTGTTTTTCATTCGGGCTTAGCCATGTCAGAGGGAGAGCTTCAAGGCGCTGTTTAGCGACGGGGGGCATTTTGTACTAACATTGCTTCCCTAGTTCCGGTTTACGAATCTCACCATGGTAAAACTTGTGAACGCCTGTGAAGCTGGAGTAAGATCGTCTAGCCACCATCCTAAAACGTGTCAACTCGAGAAAAGGCTACCTAGATGGGTCGGCACATCTATGAAAAGCCGAATGCCCCCGTCGACAAACTGCGCCGAGCTTCAAGCTTCTTTCTCGGGCCATTTTGACGTGAACTCTGCAGTTTGGTACCTTCGTTGAAATTTATTAAAAGTGGATGCCTCTCATTCTAGCCTGCCTTATTGATTCAGCTGCTTTGCTCTAAACCTTTTCTTTTTCAGGACATGAACCCTGGCTCTGTGGGCCCGAATCTTGCTGTTCCCATGACACCTCTGAACTTTGAACAGGTACGTGTGGCTTCTCCAGTGCTACTGTTGCTGCTGTTATTTCATTTTGTTTATTTTTTTATTATTTTATATTTCTGAAACTCGAAATTCATTTTTACATGAGGACTTTTTCAGTATTCGTCATGAGAACCTTTTTATGAGGGGCTAATTTGAGTTTTGCTTATTTCTAGCAAAGCTATCGAGATGCAAACCATATGCCAGCTTCAAATCTGCCAGCAGCTATGATGCCAGCCACACCAGCAAGCGCCATTGATATTCCGATGCCGACCTTACAGAACATTGTGTCGACTGTTAATCTTGGTTGGTAGTCTCTTCTTTTTATGTTCCGATTTCTTAGCAATATCGTAATTGCTCGTGATTCAGGTGTCCCCCTCGACCTAAAAAAGATCGCATTACATGCTCGTAACGCCGAATATAATCCAAAACGTTTTGCCGCCGTAATTATGCGTATTCGAGAACCGCGAACTACGGCACTCATCTTTTCTAGTGGTAAAATGGTCTGCACTGGAGCTAAGTCTGAAGATGCTAGCAGGTTTTTATGCACTTCATTGCTCATTTCATTTATGCGATGCTTCTTGTCCCTAACTGTTTATCGAAAAAGAATTATTATTGGCAGTGAATTGGAACGTTTGGGAGAATTTGCAGTCTTGTTCGCTATTGATGCTGCGGCGTGTCAGATGGACTGGTTTTAGCGCAGTACGAGTCCTTTCCGCAACTGTTGTCGCTTGCTTACTTCAACACACTTGGTAGAAAACAAGCTGGCGCTGCGCCGAATCTATCTGTGACACAACCCAGCGTTCGCAGCGAACAAGTCTGATAGAGCTTTTTTTGGTTTGAACTAGTAGCCTCACAGAGGCATCCGAGTCGTTGGTGTTGTTTTCAAACCTATTTGATTCAGGCTCGCGGCCAGGAAGTATGCACGGATTGTTCAAAAATTAGGATTCGATGCAAAATTTACGGAATTTAAGGTATATCAGAAAAGAAGCTATATTTAGTGTCGTTCACCAGAAAGACTTGCAAAGCTCAGTCCTGCGATTGGTATAGCGCAGGGTCCTAGATGCAGCGCGCCTCTTAGCCCAAATTTCCCCCCCCGTAGGATTAATTGCCTAATTGTAGTAGTTCGGTGCTTAGTCGCAACGACTGTCCCACTTTCGCTGCTTCAAGCTGCATTCACACTTTACTTAACGCCGGCATTTTGAGTGTATGCCGGCGACTAAGAAAGTATAGATATCGATCTAATGAACGCCTGCATATGCCAGGCTAGCTAGCGCTAGCGCTTTCGCAGGCTGGCATACATTCGGTGTTCGCTACGTCAATATCCATACCTTCTTAGTTGCTGGCGCACGTTGGCATACGCTACCATAAGCTGACGCGAAGCATGAATGCTGCTTCACACAGCGGTCATATACGGTATAACTGCATTGCGGAGCCGCGCAAGTGGGACGATCTTTGCGATTACGAGGCGGACTACTTGGGCAAAGAATTTCTACAAACTGCTCGAGCGCGAGTATTTAGGCTTGAGATCACAGCGCGATTTCGGTATTTACCAAACGTTTATTTGAAGGAGAAGAGTAAGAACAAAATCGTGTGGCCTCACCTCAGGCTATGCTAGTATTCACTAGTGGAAACATAACAAATTATCATAAACATAAATATTTTGTTCGGTCTCACTAGAACTGATAGGTGCGCGTCAGGCGGTGGCTACAGCGGCTTTTATTGTTGTTGCTCATTAGAAACAAAAAAAACAAATATTAGGAAAGGAATACACTCCAAAGCACAGATGATCCGTTTCGCCCGTTATCGCAGACGAATCATTGATGTCTTACCAACCCCCGGGCTCTTGCCTGTTATTGAAACTCGCTTAAATCATGATTGCTTCCTTTGTAAATCTTCTGCTCAAGCCACTTTAATCTGACAGCATTTGATGTCTTGTCACTAATTTTCCTGTTGAACTTGACTGTAGTATGTGTATTTAGGCAAATGTAAGAAGTGGGCGTAGCATTTGCCTATATGCACATACTACAGTCATGTTCGACAGTAGTAGCTCCTCGAGTAGTATGTGTATGCAGTGATAAATGCACGGTTTTGATAATAACGCTTCAGGTGCAAAATATGGTAGGATCGTGTGACGTCCGATTTCCCATTCAATTAGAAGGACTTTGTGTGACGCACACTCAGTTCAGTACATATGAGCCGGAGCTTTTCCCCGGATTGATTTATCGGATGGTTAAACCTCGTGTCGTGTTGTTGATTTTTGTCTCGGGCAAGGTGAATTCTCTTTTTTTTCTGTAAATTCTAGTCTAGGTCTAGCGCTGAAATCTTTATATTCAGCGAGTTACTCAGTGAACCGACCAGGAAAGGATGGTTGGTCGAAGTGGCCAATTGAAATGAGATGTATACTGGCCGATGGACCTTACAAGTCTGCCTTCCATATCGCTAAACGATTCTCTGAGCAAAGTTATGCATGAATTTTGACCTGGTTACACCCATTTCCAACATGTAAGTCACACCAAAACGGGCAAATTCGCTAAAATCTGAAAATAGAGGTGGTTTGGGTGCTCTAGAAATAAACACTATCGTCATTTTTCGTGAAAATATCTTGTTCGCATTCTGGAGGGGCAGGGTGTGCAGGAACCTGCAACGTCCTTGGCAAGCGTTTTTACGCCGAACGAGTGTGATATTCGTGTTCTGGGGCTCAAATTAGCCCTAGAGGCAAGTTTTCAACCAAATCTGAGATTTCGACCTATTTTCGATACAGTGGGGTAACCATGGGCAACAAATTCCTTAAGGTCGCTGGCACTATCGCCGATCAAAATCTCTGTGAAGCAATAAGCTTTTCCGCTAAATCTCAGTTCTTGTTGGTGGCTGACGGTCCTGATCACAAACATTCACTTCTGGCTTCCATGTTATTTGGAGTCAGTTTGGCGACACAACACGACGCAACGAATGATGCCGCCGAAACCAACGATCAGGAGTGTTCCAGAATGACTTCACTTTTCAGAAAAAAAACATTTTTCGGTAAGATTAGCCCCAAAAAAGTGCTCTCAGGATGTGCAGAAAGCATTTTCGAGAAAATGCGAAACCCGAGTTGACGGAGGGTCCGAACCGTTGATCTGCACACATAAGGCTGGTAGTTTCTCCACTACGCCATCGAAGCACATGTCAGTGTGCTCACCCATCATTTAGATACTTGGTGGTCTCGAGCACTGGTCTGCTCAACAAGCCTCCATAATTCTGCTCGGAGAATCGTTTAGCAGATTTGGAGGGCAGATTTGAAATCAGTGTCCAAAGACGCATCAGCCGGTATACATCTCATTTCAAATGGCCACTTTGACCAACCATCCTTTCCTGGTGAGATATTTCACTCGTGAATGTCATTATTTTTACAGGTTGTGATCACAGGAGCTAAATTCAAGAAAGATATCGACGACGCCTTCAGTCAGATCTATCCAATTTTGAAAGGATTCAAGAAGTAACCAGTAACAAAACCATTCCGTATAGAGTGAATATTTTTCGCAGCAATAGTCTCCCCTTTCAATTTCTCACTGCCATAGTCGATGGTAATTTCAATATGCACTAACTGAGACGTCTAATAAGTCATAGCTTGAAAATTTACTATTGCACAGGCTTGATCTGACGGTGTACGTGTCTTGAGAGCAAAAAAGCAGCATGTAGGCTTTTCTCAACTTGATATTTTATGTTTCTTTGTTATGTTTTCCCTCATGTTTTTCATGCTCAGTTAGTTTTAGTTCTTTTTAGCGTTCGATATTAGTGTATATATGGTTATATCTGGTGACCGAGGTTATTATCGTTGGAATAAATAGGTTGTCATTGTCGAAGTAAGGTGTTGGCATGGTGTTTTGTAAGTACTCGAGCTACTGCTGTACATTTAAGAACATAATCACTCAATCGGTCTATCGAGCGCTGGCTTGAAAATTGTAAATGTGTCGAGTTTGGCCAGAATTTGTTACCATCATGGGCAGAATTTACCAAAGCTGAAGTTCCGAGTGTTCCGGAGAACGCGATTTCCGTAGCTCCGTATCCGCACATACATGCTTTACGTTGAGAGTGCGTTCATACTACGGCCTTTCGAGCGTCTATCAGCGTATTGAGCGTTTTTTGGCTACTGGAAAAGTATAGGTGAAGATTTAGCGCTTTGGGCGGCCGCCAGCATTTTGAGCGTTCACGAGCGTTTTCAGCGATCATCGATACCTATACTTTCATAGTAGCATGAAATACTGGTGAACGCTCAAAACACAGGATCGGTTTTTACATTTTCCTTGTTGCAACGCTGATGCAGAGTATGAACGTACTCAAGGGCTGCCTCGCGAAACCTTGATTTGACATTAAGGATCAAAGATGAGGGACAAGGTTACGTTGCCAGTTCCAAGTATACAATTACCCTTGGCGAACCTTGAACGATTGTTAGCATTCAGTTAGCTTCTGTATTTGAGCTCCCAATGTTTCATGGTGTGTGATTGGTTTCAGGTATGACCAAGGAACTGTGGGGACGTCTTGCGGCAGCGCAAGACATTCCCTCCTTGCATGGTTTACTCAGTGAACTTCCTAATGATGATGTGCTACTGCTCGCTCAGAAAGCTTTCAATGACGTCATCGGAGCAAATTTCACGGGCTGTAACGGTACGTTTGTTAATCCGTCGGATTCATTTAGAAATGACTTTGAAAGCTATGGTGAATCAACGGTGAATATGAGTAGTTGAGCAATAAGAATACAGACTTCTATGTATAAGTCTGACTTCGTCCTGCGGCCGGTAACTGGCGTTATGTGGGGTACTGTCGGTAATCCCTCCGGTCTATTGGTCATCGCAAATTCTCATGACGTTTCCGGCCCCCTAATCTCCGATTACTCGGTAGACGACGGTGTGTCTCAAAGATGCATTCGAATAATGATGGATTTCAGTTAAAGCGTTTTCAGTTCTGTGTTCTCGGGAAAAGACTGGTGATATTCGGAAGTGGTCCGATATCGTAACGTGCTAGCTTTCATAATATTGGTTGTACAAGTGCCGAGGCAATTGCTGTTACCTCTTGGAAATGCGTGGCAGGAACATAGGGCCTGCTCCTCATGATGACAGCCCGCTGTCAACGGACGGGGAGACGGGCAAGAGAATCGTAAATTGCCGCTTCGTCGCGCGCGGCAATGGGCGCGACGTTCCCTGATTTGCACTACCCTTTCGATTGGAGCATCGGATTTCATGTAGACAAGGACATGGTAGACACTTATGTCTATTTTTGGTCATACATTGTCTATTCTCGACCAATACCACCTGAAATCGTCGTCATTAGCAGGCGCGACGTCGACGCGACGCCCACTGGCGCGGCGAATTACGATTCTCTTGCCACATACCCCGCCGCACGGCCTAGATTTCCGCAGAATTGCCTATTCTAGATTCCAGGAGCGTCTCATATTGATGGCATGAATTAATGATACGTTTTGGTGGCGATATCACCGTCACTTACCCTTGACTGTTACGAATCTTATGAATTTCAGTTCTATTTTTCAGCTTCAACTTCTTCCTCGATCCCATCCTTTCTTGAACAAGAGCTAGCGCTGTTGAACTTCGATGTCAATGAACCATATACAAAAGCAAGGTGCGTTTCCGATCTAATCCAGTTTATTAGTTCATTAGTTTTCGCTCGGATTCGATCCTCGAGTTTTTTCAACCGCAGTCCAAAAAAGATGCTAGTCTCGAGAAAAACTTCTGATTCTTTTATTGATCTATTTTCTAACACTTACGTGAACGACTGCATTCTCAGTTCCTTTTTCGGAAAGGTGAGAGGAAAGAGC